CTAAACATTACCGACGAGTGTCGACCACTCAGATAATTTGCCGACCACCGTTTGAGCCTCTGTGGGAGAGAGGAAGCCTCTATATCTTCTAGTAGCGTGGAATGGCAGACGGTGTCAAACGCCTTTGACAAGTCCAACGCTACTAGAATCGTTCTCTCACAGGGACGGTTTCGGTTAAGGCCACGAGTTATCTGAGTGTTTATGGCGTTAAGTGCTGTTGTTGTACTGTGCACTTTACGGAAACCATGCTGATGCTTCGCTGAGGTCAAGTGGTTTGTGAAATACGGGAGCAGCAGGGCCTCGAGTGTCTTCGCTACCGGGGAAAGGAATAAGATAAGAATCTCCTTTGTTGTCAGGTTTCCCCGGTTTGAGCAGTGGGAGCACTCTCCCTACCTTCCAGATGTCTGGGGTGATGAGAGTGGCCATAGACAAATTGAGGACCTCCGTTAGGTACGCTACTCCGCAGGACCCAACTTTTTCAGCATCAGCATGCATATTCCGTCGGGACCCATGGCGTTGGAGGCTTTCGCCTTCCCGATGGCCACCTGAACTTCACCGCAAGNCCGTCGGGACCCATGGCTTTGGAGGCTTTCGCCTTCCCGATGGCCACCTGAACTTCACCGCAAGTGAAAGCAAGGGGGGCACAGCTTGTTGGCAGTTTGTGCAGCCTTCTAGTCACTCGACGCTTGGCTTTGTCCACCGGAGGATGCAGTATGAACTGCCGGCTAAAATAGCTCGCGCATCGCTCCGGGTCCGACGAAGCATGGTCGCCGAAGGAAATTTCGACTCTGTCGTCGTGCTTCGTCGGATTGGACAGTGGCCTCACGGTTGAATAAAGCTTACTCACACCAGAGGTGAAGTTACAGGTCTTCAGATGCTCTTCCCACTTCTTCCGCTTATGTACGTTTACTAGTTTCCGAATCTCCGCGTTGAGATCCCTGATACGGGGATCTGCGGGATCGGCCTGACGAAGGCTATTACGCTCATCGGCTAGAACAGCCGCTTCGGCATGGAAGTTTGGACGTGGGTCCGTTATAGATCCTGCCGGTATGAAGCGAGCTGCAGCAGCAGTGACAGCCATGCGAAACTTACGTTCACCGAGATGGACGTCGGTTGGTGTGGGGAGCGCTGTGAAGGTGTTTTCGGTAAACTCCGCGTAACCTTTCCAATCAGCTTTAGATAATTTGATATAGGTGCGGTGTTTAGCGGAGGCAAAGTCGTTTGGTTTACCTATAGAGATGACTATGGGTAGGTGGTCTGTTGCTAAAGTCAGCATAGGTCGCCATGTTATGCTGTTTATCAGACCAGCGCAGACTATGGTGATGTCTGGAGAGCTGCTGCAATTACCCATAATCGTGGTGGGTGCGTCGGCGTTCATTGTGCAGAATGTCGAATCGTCTATCTGCTCAGCCAAGCCTGTTCCTCTACGATCGTTTGACAGGGCTTGAGTGACAAAGATCGTGGTGCGCATTAAAGTCACCTACTACCATACGGTTTTCACATGAACATCGCCTGACATTCTAGGGTGGTATCCCTGAGGTCGATGTCTGCTTCGATAAGACGATGCTGCACGGTGTGGTGCGTGATGAACGCTAAGCCACCATCATTATCGCGCTCGCGATCTCCACGGTGGACGTTGTACCCGGCACAATTCAACAAAGTGGAATTCCTGTGCAACTTCGTCTCTTGGGCCGTAGCTATCAATATACCATGCCGACACATGAAGACGGTTATCTCCTCAATCTTGCTCTGTAGCCCGTTGCAGTTAAATTGAAGGAGCTTAATGTGGTTCGGGAGACGCGTTGTGGTGTGGGATGGAAGGGATGTGTGTGTTCTTACCGCCGTTGGCTGTATGCGCTGCTGTGATGTTTGCCGCCCTGTGGTGGTGGCAGGAGGCGTCGCAGTTGAGGTCTGCGACCGAGCAGCGCAACACGGGCCTTCGTCCAATCTCCCGTGGTACGCAGACCTGAGCATGCCCAAAAGTGGCACCAGCCAAGGCAGGTGTTGCATTTGACTGATGTCACATTACGGAATATCCTGATCTGACATACCGTGCAGGTTGTGGGAGGAACCAGGGGTTGTTGGCGGCAGCGTGTGGGTAGTGGTGCGGTTATGTGTGTTCTGTGGTCTGTCGTGGCTGTTGTATGGTCTGTGGTGTTATTATGTTGTTGTGCTGTGGTGACTGTGTGAGGCTGCTCAGGTGGACTGAGGTTAGCCATGGGGGCTGCTCTGTTTGAGCACGTACGACGTGGTAAACTGGCAATGTGTCCGTTGTCCTGAGCAGACTCTAAGGTGACTCCACCCATCGCAGGCATTGTAATTGACTGAGGTGGAGTTATGGTGTAGTCGTCTCTGGCATACACAGCAGGTGCAGCGATGCCAGCCCTGAGTAGAAGAATACGTGGCGAATGTAGCGCTATGGGCGAGCAACTTCTGAGATACTTTGCCGACCTAAACGGGGTTAGATCGCCGAATCAAGAGCCCTTGGTCGGGTAAAACCCGAGTCATTCTGGTACGTAGAACCGGCAGTCGTGGGAATGACTTAGTTTAAGCTTGTGTTTCGCTTTTTGGCAAAATTATCGTTAAAACAATTTGCAGAATACGAGAATGTAAACACATCCCACCTNGTTTAAGCTTGTGTTTCGCTTTTTGGCAAAATTATCGTTAAAACAATTTGTAGAATACGAGAATGTAAACACATCCCACCTTAAGTTGCGTTCCAGATGCTTGACGATATTCACGAAATTCACGATTTGCAGGAACAGCTGTTTTCTCCATTAATAAATCTTATGGGAGGTGGTCACCTGGAACGACTTCATGTAAAAACCTGAATCATCTGGAACACAACTTTATTTTGATTTGAACTTATACCATGTCCCTACCGGAGCTAACCACGTAGTTATGGCTATTGAGTTGGTTATCCCGATAACCCACTTGATTTAGCGTAGTTTCGCCATATAAAAATGACAGCACTTAACCATTTCACTGAGACGGTTAAAAGCTAACCAACTCGAAACCACGTCGAAAGTCTGATACAACCCTGTGTTTTCCCGCCATCTGTGGGTCATTAGCGTTGAAATGTAAAGAATTCGTTCCCTACTAGTGTTTGGACTCAACTAAAATCAGAAAAAAATTGAAATCTACTCCTCTACTCCGCTGGACTTCAAATCTATTCCGTTTTTTTCATTCATGTTATGCCCCTCTTGGGGCCGTTTTTTGAGTGTTCACCACCGGTTTCAGTAAAAAAATTGAAAAGTAGCCAAATCTCACTGTTAAAAAGTAACTCTTTCATAGCAATGCGTCAATAAATTAACTTCGTTATTTTTTGACGTATGGCTGTACAAACTGGCGGATGCAGAACTTTACTTAAGTTGTTAAAAAATATATGTAGAATGAAATTTATATAAAGTAGAAAAGGTTTGCTTTTTAAAAAATTAAGTGTTAGATACGTTCTACTTCACAGAAAATGCTAAAAATTACCTAAATATGTAACATATTATCCTTGCATTGCTTCGCGTTCTTATTTTGCATGAATAGAAAATATTTTAGTCAAACAATTAATGTCAGAAACAAAAATAAAAAATTCAATCTAGTACGGAAAATTTGTTTTTGGTCCGATTTTTGCAGCGATTTAATCCTGAATCGAGATTTGGAGCTCCGAACACTGTTCTTTACATTTGTACTGTTTTATAAACCNACGTAGAACCGGCAGTCGTGGGAATGACTTAGTTTAAGCTTGTGTTTCGCTTTTTGGCAAAATTATCGTTAAAACAATTTGCAGAATACGAGAATGTAAACACATCCCACCTTAAGTTGCGTTCCAGATGCTTCACGATATTCACGAAATTCACGATTTGCAGGAACAGCTGTTTTCTCCATTAATAAATCTTATGGGAGGTGGTCACCTGGAACGACTTCATGTAAAAACCTGAATCATCTGGAACACAACTTTATTTTGATTTGAACTTATACCATGTCCCTACCGGAGCTAACCACGTAGTTATGGCTATTGAGTTGGTTATCCCGATAACCCACTTGATTTAGCGTAGTTTCGCCATATAAAAATGACAGCACTTAACCATTTCACTGAGACGGTTAAAAGCTAACCAACTCGAAACCACGTCGAAAGTCTGATACAACCCTGTGTTTTCTTGCCATCTGTGGGTCATTAGCGTTGAAATGTAAAGAATTCGTTCCCTACTAGTGTTTGGACTCAACCAAAATCAGATTAGATTTACTCCGGTTTTTAAAAAAAATTGAAATCTACTCCTCTACTCCGCTGGACTTCAAATCTATTCCGTTTTTTTCATTCATGTTATGCCCCTCTTGGGGCCGTTTTTTGAGTGTTCACCACCGGTTTCAGTAAAAAAATTGAAAAGTAGCCAAATCTCACTGTTAAAAAGTAACTCTTTCATAGCAATGCGTCAATAAATTAACTTCGTTATTTTTTGACGTATGGCTGTACAAACTGGCGGATGCAGAACTTTACTTAAGTTGTTAAAAAATATATGTAGAATGAAATTTATATAAAGTAGAAAAGGTTTGCTTTTTAAAAAATTAAGTGTTAGATACGTTCTACTTCATAGAAAATGCTAAAAATTACCTAAATATGTAACATATTATCCTTGCATTGCTTCGCGTTCTTATTTTGCATGAATAGAAAATATTTTAGTCAAACAATTAATGTCAGAAACAAAAATAAAAAATTCAATCTAGTACGGAAAATTTGTTTTTGGTCCGATTTTTGCAGCGATTTAATCCTGAATCGAGATTTGGAGCTCCGAACACTGTTCTTTACATTTGTACTGTTTTATAAACCTGATGTGGTTAAGTTCGATTCGAGATGGTTAACTTTTTGGTGGGGACATGGTATTAGTGTGAGTAAAATAATCAATTTTTGATGGTTTATTTTCGATTATTTTAAAAATTAATCGGGTAATGGCTCGATTAATCGAAAGCAAAATTTCGATATAATTAAATCGTTAACCGAATGAAACAAACCGATTATAATCGGTTTTCCTATTTATTGTGCCATTACTACGTATGTGTCTCCCGTATTTCTATTGTTTATTGGACGGATATAAAATGGCTGAGATTAAATCCCTTGAGCATTGTACTCTCAAAGTTCCATATGAGGTTTTAAACAAAAAGTTTCGTGCTGCACAAAAGAATCTTGATCGTGAATTGGATCAGATCCAAAATGTATCTAGGGATGCTGAAATAATTTTAAGTAAAAATCCTGTTTTGCCATCAGTTATTGAAGTCAATAGACTTGTGGAAAGTGTTGTTCAGCGCCTTCAGATACTAAAAAGGAAATGTGAAGAAAGCTTTTTGGATGAACTAAATGCCGGGTTGGTTTGTAAACGCAAGTTGCACCACTTGAGGATCGTAGCCCCCCCGGATTCCCACATTAGTTTGGAGGCCTGGCAGGCATCAATAGATCAATGGAAAAGGGTGAGTAGTATATGCAGATTAATATTTATGGACGAACAAGTGCAGAATACGCCCCGTTAAGGTAGAACAGAACGAAAAAGTGGTCGCGTTCGCCCTTTTTTCCTGATTTTACCTGTATAGAAATTTTGGGTAATCTTTAGCTATTTGTACAACAATTTGTTGGTTGCGGCAGAGGGGGAGGGGCATGGTGGAAATGTTTAGTTATTTGGGCTGCAATTTAGTTTGGCATCCACGGAGTTTCACATTAAGGTAGCTATGGAACGGTAGAGGGAGTTCTCCTGATTGCAAATATACAGTGACGGGCAAAACTGTAACATGCTTTAACAATTTTTGTTTCAACCACCGCTATATTTCCAAGTTCTAGCGCCTTTCATCCTTTTGTTGAATATTCTTGTTGGTACATCCCTACTCCATCTCTCATAATGATTTGAAGTCAATACAACAAGAATAAAAAAACCAGCAGACAAAAATGTAAATTAAGGCAGATGTTACAGTTTTGCACTCACTCTCAGTTTTGCATTTGACAGTTATCTTTTACTTAGTTGGAAGTCAGATGACTTTTTTCTATATTGTATTTTATTGAAGAAGTGATCACCAGTAAATAACATAGTTAATCAGGAACCATAAATGTAAATAATAGATTTACTGCGGAAAGGCGGAACCGCACGAAAAGTAGCAAAAAATTTTGGAATTTGCTACTTAAAAATGTTAAGACTTAGAAAAACTATAGCCTAAAGTGTTCCCAAGGACAAAGGAAGTCTGTTAAAAAATATTACGGTACGATATCTTGTGAACTTAGAAGCAAGTAGCGATGCAGCCACTATTACAGAAGCGCTTAAGGTATTAAACTTTAATGCAAATCAACAGACAGCGAAGCGAAGAATTGCCAATTTGAGCTCAAAGGCATCATAAAGAAGAAAAAAGCAAATTTGATCATAATACATGTGCGAGTGTGGCAGCATTTCGCTACATCGCACGAAAACCGAACTGTTGCCTATTGGGATATGTTAGGCCGTTCAGAATGCAATAAAAAACATATTTTTAAGTTTCAATTGAAGGTTATTTGGTCTGACAAGACTAAATTAATCGCTTTCAATCAGATGGCCGGGCATGGTATTGGATCAAAGACCCAAATTAAGCCTAAGCGCATCATGTACTGCAAACTGTGAATCACAGTGGTAGGATCTTAATTGTTTGGGGTTGTATTTCAAAAATTTTATTGGTCCGTTGGTACGCATTATGCGTAAGGAACAGTATCTGTTCATATTTCAACAAAATTTGCAAGATGTAGTCGAAAAATGAGAGTTTCTGCTGAAAAATCACCCAAAACATACTGCATATGTTCGCAAAGACTGGATACAAAAGCAAAAATTTGCTAATTTGAAATGACCTCCACAAACCGCGGACATGAATCTCATCGAGAATTTGCGAAATCAACTAAAAGCACAGCTTAATAAGTATCAAAGTCCGTAAAATCGAGTACATGAGCTGTGAAAGCAAACTAAGGATATACCTCCAGAATTTTTACAAAGATACAAATAAGGTATGCCAAATCACATCCAGGAACTGAAACAGGCAAAAGAGTACTGAACATTGTGTTAGTAGTTCTTTTTTTTCGTGAAAATTGTTAAAAAGCTCTTAAAAATATATGAGCGCAAAACTGTAACATCTTCCTTAATTTACATTTTTGTCTGCTGGTTTTTTTTATTGTTGTTGTATTGACTTCAAATCATTATGAGAGAGGGAGTGGGGATGTACCAACAAGAATATACAGCAAAAGTATGAAAGTCGTTAGAACTTGGAAATATAGCGGTGGCTGAAACAAAAAGTGTTAAACCATGTTACAGTTTTGCTCGTCACTGTATATACTTTTAGCCACAGCAGGCTTATAGTTTTTAAGTTATTTGTTGTTAAGGTTTGTAAATTGAACTAACCTCTCGGTGCTATTTCACACATTAAACACTTTATTTATGTACACACTTAGGCAAAATAGTTGCATTAAAACCCCGGCCTGAGATTTCCACTTTAATATACAATTCTTAATTAATTAATTAAGTAAAACGCGTTTATANGCAAAATAGTTGCATTAAAACCCCGGCCTGAGATTTCCACTTTAATATACAATTCTTAATTAATTAATTAAGTAAAACGCGTTTATAAATGTCTTCAAAAACACGTCCGTCACGCTTGCTGACCCACTTCTCCAAAAAATTATAAAAATTACTTAGAAATTAGGTGCAATTTAGACCTCTCTGAAATTGGCAGGACAACTTTTTCTCAAAGCAAAAATTCCTATCGCATAATTTG